CCCGGCGGGAAGGGTCACATCCAGATCCGCGCGGTTCCAACACCCATCCCAACCACGCCCCATCAACAGCAAAATCACCACGCTAGGGTTTCAGCATCAAGCACCTCACAACCAAAATACACAACCAGATCTGAGAAACACGCCGACCTGCCTCGAGACACGAGCAAGCAACCTATTGCCCCCACATAGAGATAGTAAAGCCATGCCGCCACGCCGTAGCACCCGTGGCAAGGGGAAAGAGAAGGCGAGTGACGATGAGCCGATGGAGGACCAGCGGCAGCAAGGCGGTGAAGAAGAAACCGTGGTGGGAATACGTTTACAACCTTAAAAAGCACTCGGCGAAGGCGAAGGCCCACGCACTGGACGGGGGAGGCGCCGCCAACGTGGACGTCAATGCGTACGCTCCGGTGCCCGGCACCAACGACCGGGAGACCTCGGTCCCGCCAAGCCAGGCGCAACAGCGTGGATCCCGTCGCTAGGCAGCTAACACAGGTCAGTGTAGAGCATCTTGAGCCCCACCACCTGCCGGTCTCTGTATTCCGATTCATGTGAACGGTTTCCACCATGGTGTAATCTATTCCGCACTACAATACATGGTTGTGTGTCATTTCTCCAATACGCACTATCCTACATCAGTGCACCATCAAGTTTGATTGCATTGATAATAAACTACGAGTACACTCAAACAAAGAAGCACAAAGCCGCCTTATGGCCGTCACATCCTACGCCCACCCCTACAAATGCGGCACTCACCCCGCCACCCAAACGACGTCGGGTGCAGGAAACAGCTACGATGGCAGCAGCGAAGTTGGTGACCGAAGTGATCAACAACACCAACGTGAACGTGGTGCGCCAGCTACAGGACTCAACTCAGATTCTTGTGGCCGCGATGAACATGGCGGCGCTGCAGGCGGGCATGCGCATGCAGATGGTGGCGCCGCAAGTGCCTCAAGGAGCGCCTGCCACAACTTCGCCTCCAGAGCCGCCCGCAGACACAGGCGACGAAACCATGGCCGGGTCGGAGGAGGCGGCCGAGCAGCCTGCGCCTTAGCGCGCGGACTTCGGCACACGGCGACGCCTGAGGTAAGCCCGGTGGATGTGCTTGCCGAAATGGCGGCGTCGGGCGCGCAGCTCGGGCAGCGTGGGGTTGTCTAGGCTCTCCCACTGGTAGCGATCCATGCCGCTCCTCGTCCACCAGCCATTCGGCATCCTTGCCCATATGATGCGGCGGGGGTTGTGAGTCCTCATCCTTGGTGTGCTGACCACCTGCAACATGTTGTGCAGGATGATGATGCAGGCGGTACCTGCACACACGCGCCAGAGCTTGCTCTCATGCCTTCGGGGAGAAGAGCCTACAGCGCCCCTTCATTGCGCCGATCGTGCGCTCAACCACCATCCGCGTCGCCGACTGGACGTAGTTGTACGTTTGCTCCCACTTCTTCATGAGCCGGCGGCGTGGTGCATGGAAGGGGGTTAGCATGTAGGACTTCAGTGGATATGCCGCATCCCCCACTAGCTGATATGGGGCGATCTCCCCACTCTCTAGCCTGCCATGTAGGTCAGAAGTTGTGAAGACACCCTGGTCATGCATTGAGCCAGGATTGCCCACCATGTAGTCCCAAATGATACCTTTCGAGTCACATGTAACCTGAAGTTGAACACTGTAAACAGATTTGCGATTGTAGTAGTCTCCCCGGTGAGCATCCATGCCCCGTATCTCAATGTGTGTCCCGTCTATCGCACTGATGACGTTGGGCACACCTTTGACGGCGCGGAAGTCAAGCGCCATCTCCTCTTGCACCTCTTCTGCAGGGAACTGGATCCAGTCATGCTTGAATTTGTGCGGGAACCAGACCAAGAAGCAATCCACGAGGCGATGGATGAGACCCCTGGGCAGGCCGAACATTAAGCTCATGTCGTGATACGTCATTGCACTTGCAAAATACTTTATGGGGATTAAACAACAGAGTGATAAGGGGACTTGGCTGACTTCGACAAAGCGGGACATGGGGTGTGCCATCCTTTCCGCAATAACGTCGAGGACCCTTCGCGTAATACGGAAGGTGTCTTCGAATTCCTCGTCGAACATGGCGCGGATCTCCTCCACCCATTCCGCCACACGATCCTCCCGACGGCGTTTCCGACTTTCACGGCGCGCCATTTCACGGCTCACGCGCTCCTCATCCTCTACCTGGGACATCGGTAGGAGGGTGGTAATCCACTCGAGGGCGGCAAGGGATACTCATGCCAGAGGTGTAATGCCACAACTAGTATGAGCACCTGTGCAGTGACCATGGTTTATGGCCACCTTGCTCAAGGTTGCTTGCGATGCTGGTTCCCCTTTAGAGCTGTTTTACGTACCTCGACGGGGCCGCAGCCCTGCTGGCAGCGCGGTTGAAGTATGGCGACACGGACTGGAGACGCCCGTGCTTGTATACAGAGCGTTCTGTGCGAAGCAGTGTTGGTGAGTGCGAATGACGAGCTTCTGGTTGTTGCGTTTGCACATGTAGAGTTGCTGGATTGTTTTGCAGGTTTGTGGTGTACTTGTCACATTGACGGGCGTGCACCAAAAGTGAACGTCCGTATACAGAGGGGCACATTTACATGGGGTCGCACAGCACTGTGATTGGTGGAGTGCTGTATTTGTCACATTTTGGTTGACGGTCGCATGCAATTCGAAGGATGACCCTTGAGGTTCGAAGCGCACCCGCTTCGAGGGGTGAGTTTGGGTCATGCGCTAATTGTGGATGCCCTGTACAGTAGTATGAACAGTGCTCATGACCCAAACCCAAGATACGCCCTTAAAGCTTAAGGCCCAAATTGCGCATGATTCGTAATCTTGCGCAAGGGTTTGGGCTGGTGGTTTGGGAGGTGAACAGAAAGTCGAGAAAGTGGGGTTGACTTATTTTCACAAGCTCTCGTAACCCTTGCTGAGTCAGCAAACTCTGGGCCAAACATTCTGTTTGGGTCCGATGGTCCCAAATTGAGAAAAACTGAAACTTGAAATCGGCGCAGTGAGTTTGGTCTCGACCAATCAGATTCATTCGTACCTAGTGTAACCCAACATTCGCCAACTCACAGCACCCAAACAGTAGCTGAGCAAGATTACTCACTCACATCTTGCCCAACGCGTCCCGCAATTTGGGCCTTGAGCTTTAATGGTCTTCCCGCATTACCCTCATGTAGGTAGGGAGGGAGATATTATACAAACCGTATGCGCCCGGATATAAGACAATGTTGAATGGAAGACAGGGGGTGTCTATTATCCGGGTGTCTCTTATAAACGTGGTAGTCTTATTATAATACACCCATTTATATGTACGAGATAAGACATATGTGTCTTATAATCGAAACTGCAATATATTATAGTGAAAGTTAAAATACCGTGTACATTTTTTACCCTTTCGAAACGCGAATTTTGCCACGTGCTGACTCAGGTACTACCGAATTTGCCTCTGCAAGTATTCTCCATGGCGTGGCGTCCCGAACAATGGTTGCCGAAGTGGCACCTTTGCAACATCCACGCTCATCATGAGAAACTATTTTCAAGATGTATGAAAATATTCCGAAGTAATTAAAAAAGTTTCCATTTATAAGACTTATAAGACACCCTAAACCGTCCCAAATACAAGACAACCCAACCCAATCATCCCGTGTACGAGATAAGACACGTATGTCTTCTACCCAGACGATGACGGTAGGGCTCGTGCTTCTTTGCTAGCCCTATGTTAGAAGTATTGCTTTCAAGAAGGATACAGTAGTCACCAATATATGTGACAAAAAAAATTATACATAAGGGGACCTTTCAAATGCCTTTTTTTTTCCAGAGTATACACGTACCAATAAGTGACTCCCACGTTTTAAGAAAAATGTTGCAAACCGGGAATAACTTAATGGAATGGGGTCGAGGACACCATCAAGCCTCCGTCGACCGTGGACCTGCTGAAATATGACATGAGGGCTCAGTTTCATACTAGCGTGCCCTTGCATTGGAGCACAATCTGTAAAAAATAACAAAATTAATAGAACATATTGGGAAATTGGAGGCAACCTAGGAAAGGATCAACCCCAAACAATGAATGGCTTCCCGTGTTTAGGGTTGATTTTCCAATGTGTGTCTAGCTTATATAAGGTTTTTAGTTATTTTTTTTCAGGTGTATGTGCGGGAAAGTAGCTATTGGTTCCTTTGATTAAGAATTGTGCTTATAGCATGAAAAATCATATGCTTAGGTACTCTACCGAGAATTTGTGGGTTGAGGACAAATGCAAAACGCTCCTGGCATAATTTGAGTATCAATGAAGTTGGCCGATGCTCCACTGCACTTTCGGCACAAAAGGCAGAAGGATTACATGACGTGGCAGCGTGTGCATTTTCGATAAGGTCACCTGGTCCATTTCAGTACGCCCAACGGCTACGGGTTTTTTGCGTAATGTTCCAGAATGCCGAAATATCTGTCAGTTTCGCGCTAGATGTATCCCGCTGCCCGAAACTCAACTTCCCACCGACCTAAAAACCCTCTAAACGTTCACAACCCTCTAGAAACCCCAAAATACTATTTTAGCACGTCCCAGCATCCTGCGGCCTCCTCTCCCGCCTGCCCTTGATTCCAATCCGAACCCTTTCATCAGACCCGTCTCTCCGCCTCTCTCTTCTCCGTCTCACCCTTCTCCATCCCTCTGCAATCCTAGTTTATCAATTCATCATTCCTCCCCGTCCCCTTCATAAACCTGCTTCAAGGCATACTGGAGCTCTTTTCGCTCGTCCTCTCTTCTATCCCAAAAGAGGCACGATCTCACTACGACGCTCCGCACGCGGGGTTGTGGGTTTGTAATACTGTACCCATATTAACATCCGCGTCGGACGACGTCGGGTCGTCATCCTGTCGTCAACCTCCCATATTTCCATTCTCAGCTACCGTTGCCCTTGTTAGGGTGAAGCATTTTCGTTGGTTTTTTTTTTTTTTTTTTAAATCCAAAACGAAATACTGATTCTTTCGCCAATGGCCAGCCGCAGGCCCGCAAATACGGTCACGTCAGCTGATTGCCATTGGTCCTCGTCAGCCTCCTCATCGCCGCCTGCATTAGCGTCAGGCTCGCAGATTATTCCCGCCACGGTCACTCCTAATACCGAAATTCGCCTTCCCCTGTACGCGGCGACGACGCACACCAGCGGTCTGCTGGGCCTGCACCTGCCGGCCGACCAATGGCGGCCCGCCCCGACTCGCGCCGAGCCGCTGCCGGCCAGACGCCGCAAGGAGAGGCTGTTTCGCGCCGGCGAGCTTGGCGAAACTGCGATGCCGCGAGTGGATTTCGCGAAACGGCCGTTGTCGCAACTCGATCAGCAACCGCAGCAGCAACAGCCGCACCTGCCGCGTCAAACTGAAGCGCAAGCTTCGGCGACGCTTCTGGAGGCGGAGTCTAATCTGGCCGGAGCGCAGCTGCATCAGCAGCCTTCCCACCGACACGGCACCGGCATGGCCGTCGCAGAGCGTTCGCGGGCGATAGCGACTGCGCCTGCGACTGCGCCTGCGACTGCGCCTGCGACTGCGCATGCGACTGCGACGGCTTCGGCGACGGCGTCGGGGTCGCCCGGCGTGCTGCGAGGCGACGACGTGGAGTTTGACATCGACTTCCACTTGCACGAGATGCCGTCGCGCGCGCGACGACATGCGACGAGTGCGACGGGCGCGCGACATGCTGTGACAGGAGTGGCGACTGCGGGCGAGTGGCGGGAGCTGGCGGAAGTGAAGCTCGCGCTCGGCGCGCTGGTGGGGCGCGTCGCGGCGGAACTGGCGAAATTGGGGGCGGGTGTAAACATGGGGAAGAACCTTGAAGCGGAGCGGAGTGTGGAGCGGAAATTGCGGCTGAGTCCGGCGGTTAGTCGACTGGTCAGCGGCGCCGTCGCTGGTGGCGTGTCGCGAACAGGTGGGTGCTGAGGGCAGGGGCGGAAGTGGCGGGGGTTTGGGGGAAAATGCATGCGGGGAAATGGTGCATGCGGGAGCTGGCGTATGCGTCGCGGCTGCCATGCGCCATTGCGCCAACCCGCTGCTGCTTTCACCGTCTCCCCTTCCGCAAATCGTGTTTTTTCCCACCCTCTTCCCCCCCCCATACCCTACAAGTACCTCCCCATTTCCGCAAATCCTTTCTTGACCCCCTTCATCCCCCCTCTCACCCCCATTCCATCTGTTTCCCTTCCCCCATTCCCGCCTTCCCCGCTCTCCCTCGCCTCCTTTGCCCCCCCTCCCGCGCACCCCTTCCCACTCCCCCTCCCCGCCCCCTTCCACCGGCGCTCCGCTGTCTCCTTCCGCCAGCCACGGCGCCGCTGGAGACGATTCGGACGCACATGATGTGCGGGCGGGGCGGGCTGGCGGCCAATGGGAGCATGACAGCTGTCTTCCAGTGGGTGTTGCGCACGGAGGGGTGGACGGGGCTGTTCCGCGGCAACGCCATCAACGTGCTGCGCGTCGCGCCTAGCAAGGCCATTGAGGTGCGGGGAGAGCGGGAGTGGAAGGGGGGCGGGAGGGGGGGGAGAAATGGTGAGAGATGGGGGGAATTAGGGAATGGGGGAGATGGGAATGAGGGGTAAATTATGCGGGAATGGGGGGGGAAGAGAGGGGATTTGAAGGCGCATGGCAGGGAGAAAGGCCATGGCGGCCCCACTCGCATGAGAGGATTGCGAGCTTTGCTGCAGCACGCCCGCGTGGCCCATGCCACTTCCAAACCCCTTTCGCTTCCCCCTTCATACCCTCCTCTCCCCCCTCCGCTCTCCTTCCCCCGCTTCGACCTGTTCCCCCACTCTCATGTCCCCCGAATCCCTTCCAAATGCTCACATACGATACCACGGCCGCCCTTCCCTTCCATCATCCCCTGCCATTGCCTCGCCATCGCTGCCTCTTCCGTGGGCATCGCGTCGTGCCTCCTCACCTACCCGCTCTAGCTCCGCTCCCTCCCTCCCTCCCTCCCTCCCTCCCTCCCTCCCTCCCTCATTTTCCATCCCCCTTCTTATGCCCCTTCTGACGTGCTTTCCCGTACCCCCTTCCATTTCACTTCCCTCTCCCCCTCACTCTCGCTCCTCCCCTGTACAGATGCTCACATACGACACGGTGAAGCGCTTCCTCACACCCAAAGAAGGCCGCCCCTCCATCATCCCGCGCCAGCTCCCCATCCCCATCTCCTCCATCGCCTCGTGCCTCCTCACGGAGCTCGTGAAGACGCGCCTGACAGTCAACCCCGACATGTACCGCGGCGTGCTGCACGCGTTCCCTTTCTCATCCCCCCCTCCATCTCTGCTCCCCCTCCTTTCCATTCTCCCATTCCATTCCCTGCTCCCACCCACCCCCGCCAGATGCTCACGTACGACACGGTCAAACGTTTTCTCACGCCGCGGGATGGCCGCCCATCCATCATCCCGCGCCAACTCCCCATCCCCATCTCCTCCATCGCCGGTTCCTCCGCCGGCATCGCCTCGTGCCTCCTCACCTACCCACTGGAGCTGGTGAAGACGCGCCTGACAGTCAACCCCGACATGTACCGCGGCTTGCTGCACGCCTTCCCTTTCTCATCCCTCCCTCCATCTCCCTCCCCCTTTCCCTCCCCCCTGTACAGATGCTCACATACGACACGGTGAAACGCTTCCTCACTCCGCGCGACGGCCGTCCCTCCATCATCCCCCGTCAACTCCCCATCCCAATTTCCTCCATCGCCGGCTCTTCAGCCGGCATCGCCTCCTGCCTCCTCACCTACCCTCTCGAGCTGGTCAAGACGCGCCTGACAGTGAACCCCGACATGTACCGCGGCGTGCTGCACGCGTTCCACACGATCATCACCGAGCAGGGCGTGGGGGAGCTGTACCGCGGCGTGGCGCCGAGTGTGGTGGGCATGATTCCGTACGCCGGTGCGAATTTCTATGCGTATGATACGCTGTGCACGGCGTATAGACGGGCGAGAGGGCGGGAGGAGATTGAGCCGCTGATGACGCTCGTGATTGGGTCTACGGCCGGGTGCTTCGCTGCTGCCTCGACATTTCCCTTGGAAGTCGCCCGGAAACATGTAAGCACCGGGATTTGGAGTCATGGCTTGCTTCCTCGCGTCCAGCTGCATTGGTGTGAGCCGGCTCGTTGCGTCGCCCTTGCCCTACCCTGACCTGCCCCGTTCCCACTCCACTCCATGCCCCCTCGTTCATCCCCTCCTGCATGCAGAGAGTCACGTTGCAGGGCATGCGGATACCAGGGAGGGCGCAGATGGTTTGCCTTTCTTGCTTGTGCGTTGCTCCTTCCTTCCGAGTCTCTCACCTCCGCTCCTCCCTCTCCTCACCCCCTTTCCCAACCCACACCCGCTTCTTTGTGTGCAGCTACAGATGGGGGCAACGGGTGGCAGGGTGGCATACACGGGAATGCTGCAGTGTATGAGGAGCATAGTGAGGGAGCAGGGCATCAAGGGGCTGTACCGAGGGGTGGTGCCGTGCTGTCGTGTGCCCCCTGGTGATGCTGCTTGTCCCTCTCTTCCTCTCCTAAATATTCAGTTTCTCCCTCTCGTATGTCCATCCCCCCCCTCTTCCCTCTGCTGCAGCTTCAAATGGGTGCGACAGGAGGCAGGGTGGCATACACAGGCATGCTGCAGTGCATGAGGAGCATTGTGAGGGAACAAGGTGTCAAGGGGCTGTACCGAGGGGTGGTGCCGTCGTGTGCCAAGATGATGCCGGCTGCTGGCATCTCCTTTATGTGCTACGAGGTGCTCAAGCGCGTGCTTATAGAGGATGAAAAGGTGCGGTAGATTGTTCGATTTTTTGGGTTGGGACAGCACTGTCTTGCTGGTTTGGTTGCTTGATGTAAGGTGCGATTGGAGAGGCAGGCGAGGGCCGCAAGGGAGTATATGTACGAAACATTGGTACTGTATTGACGGGCTGAATGGAAAGGCATAAGAATCACTGGTACCGTGTTGTTCATGTGCCCACCACATTTTATCAAGCTGTTGAAAAATCTGGCGAAGTGACGTTCGCCCATATGGGTGCGTGTGAGGCTTGATATATAAAGTTTTTCGTAATATGCATTTTTTTCAAGTATCATAGTACACTTCCAGCAAATTCCACACGACCGACGCTAATAACGACCTTTTTGTTGAAAACGAAGGACGTGGCATGCAATCATTGCGACCTCTGTTTCATCCAAGCAATTCATGCGCGGCTCCACGCTGCTCGTTCGTTCCCCTCGCGGCGGATCGACATCCAGCAAAGCACAAGCGGAAGGTCCAAAGCAATCCACATCTTCCTGTCAAGGTGGATTGTGATTGGTTGCGTTATCCTCAGTCGTGGCTGGTGGTGGGAGATTGGGAGGAGGCGTTGGCCAACATGGTTAACATTGACTCGAATTACCCTATATGTTAGGGGGCAACACAGGCCGAACCCAGGTGTTGATGGTTCCCGCGAATCGCACCAACTTGGGGAACACAGGACATCCACACCCCTGCAGTTGCTGGTATCTTTGCTCACGGGCGCACCTCGACAACATCACCAAGTATGAAAACCAGGTGTTTTTGAAAATGCAGAAAATTTGAGCGCGTCTGGTATCTGGTCTGGGCACAAGTTTTGGGAGATATAGTGGCAGCTGCCAGAAACTGGGCTCCCACCCACCCGCAACCTGTGCCAGATGACGGAATGAGGGACAGAACTGAAGGGCATTTAGGTGGCAGAAGCCCGTACAGCCCCTAATTTTGTTGCTGGCTGAGGGTACTGTACGTTCTTGGCCCGTGTCAAGCTCCCCCTCCCTCCCTCCCCTCCTCCTGCACTGGAAAATTTGAAGGGTCAATACCGCAAGAGGATTCGTCGAAATTGGCCGAATCGTTGAGGAGGCATGCTCCAATTTGATTCGACCGTCCAACCCCATTCCTTCCCTTTCCCGACCGGAAGTGTCACGATGTTCTGTTGGGGATGTGGCGATGCCCTTTCGAAGCCTATGGGGCCTATACGAAGGGCACCACCAAAGATTCTCTGTTCGCAAGGTCGTTCGTGAACTCCCTGGCCATGGCTACTGTACGCTGTGCATGTCTTTTATACCCTAGCACCACAGATAACCACAGCATCTCTCACAAGTACCGTACAGCTCACCCAAGCCAGATTTGTGGGGCAAATTCCCCCCAAGACACTTCCAAAAACCAAGGCCTACCATCCACTTTTCTTGGCTGTGGTAAGGGTGCGGTGAGGTCGTACATGGTGAGAAGCGTTTTTGCAGGGTTTGCCTTTTTGGGCCGCGACGCAACGAGCCCGACCACAGAGAACGTACTGTACAAGAGTCATTCCACCTGACCACCCGCCAAAGCAGCAAACTGTGCATTTCTTCTGTCAGACTTGGACCTTCCTTTCCCTCTCAACCACGCTCCGCTCCTCCGTTTTTGTGTGCCGCAGCTCCTCTCGAGTGTCGACCCCGAATCTCCTTGTTTGTTCCAACCAGCCGAGCGACATGCGGGAAGAAAGGTAACAGGAGCTAGCAGGATTTGGAAGAATGACCGCCATGGCTGCAGCTGTTGCTTTTGATAGTTCTCGCTTCCATGGCGTACGTGAAGCAGCTGTTCCTGCAGCCCCATGCCGCCTCATTACGATGCAGCAGATTGCAGCCTCCGCAATCGACGGCAATGGCGTCGTCAAGCACAGCGACAGCTCCGTCAGTTCAGACCTAACTTCCTTAGTTACAGTTGACGGATCCGACGGACGTGCGTCGAACGCGTCGTCATCGAGTGACGACTCGCGTACATCGCATGTTTCGAGTACGACGTCTCAAGACGCCTTCGAGGCGACTAGCAGCGTCATCAGCGATGCTTCTCATGGCGGGTCTTTCAATAACGCGTTTCAACACGAAGGGGCTTTTAAAAGTATACACGACGGGATGGGTCAAGTCCCGCACCGCGAATCACGCTTTGACTCGCTTGACTTGGCTGAGCCACGTGACGATGAAAATCCCTCTGGCTGCGAGCATTGTGTCTCCCAGTCGCCACGTGGCGAGCTTCGCGGACTAGGTCAACCAGTGCCATCGCCGCATTGCTCGCTCGCCGGGGCGTCGCCTCTCGAAAACAGCTGTCACGATCGTCGCGAACCGAGCGGAGCCAGTCCGTCAGACGAAGCTTACGAACCGGTTACGGAGCGCCTTCCGTTTGACTCGACTGCAGCTCTTGTAACGCCGTTACACGAACAGCAACCAGCGGGTTGTGCCCCGTTAGAAGCAGTCTCGATGTCGTGCATAGAAAACCCTGGAGAGACGGGATGGGAACGCGTGCGGCGCGCGATGGAGGAGAAAGCGGCTGCGCGGCTTGATGGAAGGCGATCGTTAGAGCACCACGCGATTGGCACTGCGCTTCAGCGGCGAATGAGTAACTGCGGCGCGGCGGAAATTCTGGAAAGGATACAGACGGAAGGGGAGGAGGTGACGGACGAGCAAGACGGAGACGACGACGGTGACGGTGACGGCGGCGCGCGCCGCGAGGCGGCAGGCGGCGCCGGTTTACTCGCACGGCCCGCCGCTGGGGGTTCCGCGCGATGGTGGTCCGGATGGGCGGGGCCCGCGCGCCTCGATGCCGTTCCGGAAACTTCGCGAGCCTCTCCGCAGAGCGCGGATTCAGCGCCGCGGCACGCCTCCATGCCGCAAACCTACGTGGCCGCGCCGCGGCGTCAGCGAGACGTCGTGACTCAGAGCAACCTCCCCGCACCGCGCGACGACTCCTTCGCGCATTGCGAGCCTTCTACTCCGCGAGCCGGCGTCGGCTGCGCTGGGTGCGGTGTCGGCGTCGGCGGCGGCGGCGCGCGCGTTCGTCCGCCGCGGTGGCAGATGGACGCGTCGCAGCTGGTGATTCGCGACTTCGTCGCGCGCGGCTCGTTCGGCACCGTGCATCGCGGGCAGTACAAGGGCCGCGACGTTGCCCTGAAGCTTCTCAACTGGGAGGGGGAGACCGTGCATGGGGGCGCGCGGGCGGCGGCGGCAGCTGCGGCTGCGGGGAGAATCGTCGGCGCGTGGAATGGCGGAACCGCTGGTGGCGCGGCGGGGGCAGCTGCGGAGGCAGAAGGGGAGGCGGTTGCGGTTGCGCCCGGGGGGGTTGGTAAATATGCAGGGGAGGCTGGGCGCGGGGAAAAAGCGGGCGCGGGGAAGGCTATGGAGGGGAAGCCTGAGGCGATGGCGGAAAAAAACTCCGCGGACTTGGCGTTTCTGCGGGACGTGTTCGCGCAAGAGGTGCTCGTTTGGAGCAAGCTTCGACATAAGAACATTTGCGAATTTGTGGGCGCGATCATCGGCGGACAGGAGTCGTACGATCTGACATCGACGGTGGAGGATCACCAGGGGCAGTTACGCGTGGGACGCAACTTGTGCTGCTTGGTGTTGGAGTTTCTCCCCGGCGGAACGCTGAAGCAGCTCTTAGCGAAGCAGAGCAAGAAGAAGAAGCGGCTGCCGTTGAAACGCGCGTTGCATCTCGCGTTGCAAGTCGCGGAAGGGTACGTACGCACGTTCTGCTGTAAGGGGCATGGGGCGTGGGGTGTGTATAGGCGCAAGCGCGGCGCGGTGTGCGACAACAGGTTGGGCTGCAAAGAGGGTGAAGCGAGCGTGCTGCTGGTGGTACGGGGGGGCATGGGTGGGGGGAGGGGGGGCCTACGGACTGACGGCCGGGGGGAATAACTGAGAGAATGCACAGCGCATTTCAGAAGCATTGGTGTAGTTCTTCCCCCTATCTTCGCCGTGTATCTTTTGTTCGGATATGCATCGTTCTCCCTCCCTCTCCCTCTCTCTCCCTCCCTCCCCCACCTTCTGCGCCGCTCCCCTCCCTGCCCTCGCGCCCAACCCCGTGTCCGCCCAGCCTGCGCTACCTGCATGCGCGCAACATAGTACACCGCGATCTCAAGACGGATAATCTGCTGCTCGACCAGAAGCTCAGGTGCGCGCTCAACTCCTCTTGTCCGCGCGCCCCTCCTGGTCCCGCGCGACTCCCCTGCTCCCACCCGCCTCTCGCCCACCTGCCTTGCGCATGTCAACTTGTTCACATCGCCTGCTCACTGTGCACTGCGCCATGTCACTCCTGCATCATGTGTGCTGCTGCGTTGTCATGTGTGTGTTGTGCGGTATGCATGCATGCATGTGTGCACCAGCATCTCCATGCCACGTCACCAACCCCATGCCACGTCACCATCCCCATGCCACGTCACCATCACCATGCGTGTGCAGGGTGGTGAAGATTGCAGACTTTGGCGTGTCGAGGGTGGAGCCGGGGGATTGCTCCATGAAGCGCCGCACTGGCACCTTCGGATACATGGCACCCGAGGTATGATGGGTTTCTAGTCCGAGGTGCATGGGTGCAAGCTCACGAGGTCATGGTTGCAAAGGCATGGTTACATGAATACAGAGCCGGGTGGGGCCGGGGGACCACTCCATGAAGCGACGCACCGGCACCTTCGGATACATGGCACCCGAGGTATGTTGGGTGCAATGCTAAGTGCAATGCTGAGGCAAGGTATTAGAGGAGCACACAATCTCTGTGGAGCCGGGGGACCACTCCATGAAGCGCCGCACCGGCACCTTCGGGTAGATGGCTCCCGAGGTACATACATGTGTGCAATGCAAGGTGTATGAGGTACATGCGTGCAAGGTGCCAGGTGCCAGAGGTAAATGTGCACATGGCTCTAGAAGGCACTCCTGGTGGTGTTACAGTAGTGCACTTGAAGTTACAAGGGTATGGTCGTCTGGCACCCAAGGCATGTTAGTCGTTTGTGTGCTGTGTGCAATGAGTGCAGTCAGTTCCATGCGTCTCTGTGACGTCCCTCCACCTCCCAATACCATCCCTGCTGCCCTCTCCTCCCCCCCTTCTCTCCACCCTCCGACTCTCTGCACCACCCCCATGGCAGTTGCTCAAGGAGCAATGGAACGACCCACCCTCTCGTCTCCTCTCCTCTCCTCTCCTATCCCCTCGTTTCCTCTCCTCTCAACTCCTTTCGTCTCCTCTCTCATCTCTTCTCGTCGCGTCTCCTCTCGTCTCCTTCCCTTTCCTTTCATCACATCTCCTCTCCTCTCCTCTCCTCCCCTCCAGCCTGCCTCATGTCACTGTCTGTGCGCCTCTGCACCACCCCATCTCTCCGCACCACCCCATCTCTCTTTGCACCGCCTCATCTCCCCTGGACCGCCTCGTCTCCCTTGCACCGCAGGTGCTCAAGGAGCAGCCGTCGATCACAAGGTGGACGTGTACAGCTATGGCATCAGGAGATGGTCGCGTGTGGTAACCCTAACCGTTTCCCCTCTCAATGCCCCTACCTCCAATGCCAGGTGCTCAAGGAGCAGCCATACGACCACAAGGCGGACGTATACAGCTATGGCGTTGTGCTGTGGGAGATAGTCACGTGTGGTAACCCGTTTCTCTTCGAGGGACTCAAGCCCGAGCAAGTCTGCTGCATGGTCAACCAGGTGAGGGGAAGAGAATCAATCGAGGGAGGGTGAAAGGGGAGGAGGGGCATGGGGGTGGATGGTGGAGATGGGAAAAGGGTATGCAGAGGGGGGTTGGGGGGGAATGCTGTTTGAAATACAATTATTTCAAGCGGCCTTTCTTTCAAGTCTACCCTCCTCGCTCTCTCTCACACCACCTTCACCGTCCCATCCTCCCCCTTGCACAAACCAGGGTCTGCGTCCAGACGTCCCCTCATGGTGCCCGCCTGCCCTCGCAGACCTCATGCGCCGCTGCTGGCATCACATGCCCGCCCGCCGCCCGGATATGAGCGAGGTGGTGGAGCGGCTGCGTGTCCTCACCCTGCAGTGTGCACCTGCCGTTCCCGCCTGCGCCTGCATGTAACCTGGTGGATTTGGGCTTGTGCGTGTATGCGTCCGCATGCAAGCATGAAATTCCTTTTTTTTTTTTTGGGGGGTGAAATTGATTACCACTATCACGCCTTGTGGTAGGCTGCCTATTTTGTGGTGATTTGTGGTTTGAGCTTCTCTCACAAGTGCGGTGAGGTGGCTTGATTTTGTAATCCCTCATAAGTTTTGTGATTTATTACACCAAGCAGTACGTAAGCTCACTGAAACTGTAGTCGAGCGTTGTAACACCTCTCCGGCCCTCGCGAACGTTCCCGCCAAGCCTTCAGGGACTTCGCATGAATCGCGAACCGCCGCTGATTCGGCAAGCTGCCTGCCTTCCAGTTCAAAATTCACCGCACCTGGCGGAACTCGTTTCGCGAATCGCCTCATGGCAGCAGCCTGACCTCCAGCTTTGGTTTGGAGCACCTATGTCCTGCCACCAAACCTATTCCTCACCACTAGTCTCCATCCATCCATAGTATGGATTCCATACCCACTGCGTAGTAATCCATTCATTTAGCAATCCATACCCATTGATTTCTCACGCAAGCTTCTTCAATCCACATGTGTCGACACATGTGTGGCAGGTACTTTGGTCGGACCCGTTGACTTTCCATGCTTTTCCCTTTTCCGGCATCTCCCGTCTCTCTCGCCATGTTCGCCCGCCATTTCCCGCCCGCAGTCCTTCCGCCCGCCCTGATTGCGCGCTGCACGCGCTTAAGCTGCCGTTTGCGGGAGGCGGAGACGAGGAGCGCACGCGGCAGAGCGGCGTTAGCGGTGGTGCAGCAGCGGGGCTCGTAGAGAACTTACCCGCTGGCGGGGTTGAACGAGAGAGCAGGACTCTTGTCGGTGGGCAATTCACGCGGCGCGATTCGACTTTTCCAACGACGCGAGCAGCAGCAGCGGAGGAGCAACGCGAGCCGCGCGTATGCACGCTTCAACGGCGGCAGGAATTCGTTGGACCCATCGCCGCCACGGCACGTTGAACTCATGCGCGGCACACAGCAGGGCTTGACCGCTGATGGTGGGAAGCCGCAGCGCGACGGCGAGGTGGGTTACCCGCGGCAGTGTGAGGAGGAGGGTTACTCGCCGCAGCAGCATTTTCCGCAGCAGCAGCAACAGCAGGTGCAAGAGGAGCAGCAGCCACATTTGGAATTGGCCGGAATACGTCAGCAGATCCAACGACAACAGCAACAGCAGCACAACCACCACCGTCAGCAGCAGCAGCAGCAGCAGCAGTGGAATTTGGATCGCGCCCAATCCCCCCTATTTCTTCCTCAGCCGCGTTTCGAGCCGCCTCAGGACCCACTGACCTCGTTCCCCGTCGCGCACCTCCCCGCGTCGCCCCCTCCAGCGTGTCTCCCGCCGCCTCAAGCGCCGCCTTTCCCGCCCCCAATCGCGCGGAAGTTCGATCTTGCCTCACCTCATTCACCTCTCGCAGAGGCCGCGCGGCAGATCGCGGCGCTGCAGCAGCAGCTGCTGACGGAGCGCGCCTCGTTTGAACGGAATCTGGCGCGGCTCCGTCAGGAGGGGCGGGAAGCGGCGACAGCGGCGCAGCAGGCGCGACTGGAGCTAGAGGCCGCGGCGTCCGAAAAGGCGGCAGCGGCGGCAGTGGTGGCAGCAGCAGTCGCGGCAGCAGAAGCTGCAGCCGGGTTGGAAACAGCAGAAGCGAGAGCAGCAGCAGAAGCAGCTGCGGCTGTGGTGACGGCGCAGCAGCAGGGGCGGTCGGAGGCGGAGGTAGCGGCGATGGAGGCGCGAGTGGAGGAGGTGCGGAAGCAGGTGGAGACGGAGAGGGAGGGGAGGGAGGCGGCGGAGACGCAGCAGGCGCGGCTGAAGGCGGAGGTAGCGGCGATGGAGGCGCGAGTGGGGGCTCTAAGTGAACAGGCGGAGGCAGAGAGGGAGAGTAGGGAGGCGGCAGAGGCGCAGCAGGGGCGGCTGGAGGCGAGAGGGGGAGCTGCGGAAGCAGGTGGAGGCGGAGAGGGAGGGGAGGGTGGTGGCGAATAGGGAGGTGACACGTGTGGCTGACGAGCTGAGGCGGGCGGAAGAGCGTGTGGCAGCATGCGAGCGAGAAAAGCAGATGCTGAGAGGTGGGGGGGTTGGAGGTAAAGGTGCTGTCAGTGTGCAGTCGAACGTTTTTTCTTGCTTTCCCTACTCCCTCTTCCCCGCTTCCCCCTTTCCTCCTCACTTCCCCTCTTTCCTCTTCCCTTTCTCCCACCTTTCCCCAACCCCACGTCCCCAACCACTCGGTTGCGCCTGTTGCGCCAGCACTGCCGCCTCCACTGCTCCCCACGTCCCCAACCCTTCCGCCTCCACTGCCTCCCAAACCCCACTCTCCCCTGGCGCTCCTCAAACCCTCTGTGCAGAGGAGGCGGCAGTGCTGGCGCAACAGGCAGTCGACCTCAGGGCCGCGCTGCAAGCAGCAGAGGCGGAGAGGAGAGGCGTATTTTGAGTCGACTCATCAATGACCCCCGTCCCCAACCCACCACACCTCTCTGTGCAGAGGAGGCGGCAGTGCTGGCGCAACAGGCGCTCGACCTCAGAACTGCACTGCACTGGTGTGAAACACGAGCGAAAAGCCCTCCTCCTACAGCACCCATGGCATCACCTGTTGAGGCGCCCCAAAAGACCTTCTGCTATGGCACCTATGGCATCACCTGGCCCTCTTCCCTCCCTCTTGCTTCCCCTGGCCCTCCTCAAAACCCTCTGTGCAGAGGAGGCGGCAGTGCTGGCGCAACAGGCGCTCGACCTGAGAGCTGCACTGCAGGCAGCAGAGGCGGAGAGCAGGAGAGCGGCGGCAACGACTGCTGCTGCTGAGAGGGAGAGGGACGAACTAAGGCGAGAGGTGGATGAGGTGAGAGCAGTGCAGATGGGAGAGGTGCAGTTGCTGCAGAGGGAGAGAGATGAGGCGAGGCGAGAAGTGGAGGAGGCAAGAGCAGTGCACTTGGGGGCGGTGCAGTTGCTGCAGAGAGAGAGGGACGAACTGAGGCGAGAGGTGGATGAGGCGAGGCGAGAGATGGATGAATTGACGTTACTACAGATGAAGGAGGTTCAAACGCTGCAGAGGGAGAGGGATGAGGCGAGGCGAAAACTGGAGGAGGCGAGAAGGGAGATGAATGAAGTGAGATCACTGCGATTGGAAGAGGCACAGCAGGTGCAGAGGGAGAGGGACGAGGTGAGCAGAGAAAGGGACGTGGTGAGGCGAGAGGTGGAAGAGGCGAGGAGGAAGTTGGATGAAGTGGGATTGTTGCGAATGGAAGAGGTTCAAACGCTGCAGAGGGAGAGGAATGAGGCGAGGCGAGCACTGGAAGAGGTGAGGAGGGAGATGAATGAAGTGAGATCACGGCAGTTGAAGGAGGGGCAGGCGGTGCAGAGGGAGAGGGACGAGGCGAGGCAAGAAAGGGACGAGCTGAGGCGAGAGTTAGTGGAGGTGAGGAGGGAGCTTGATGAAGTGAGAACACTGCAAATGGAAGAGGCGCAGGTGCTGCAGAGGGAGAGGGACGAGGCGAGGAGAGAAAGGGACGAGCTGAGGCGGGAGGTGGAGGAGTTGAGGAGGGAGCAGCAGCAGCAGCAGCAGCAGCATGAGCGTGGGGAGTCTCGGTCGGGCAGCAACACGCCGCAAGTTTTCGTGGATCTGCGGTCTTTGCACCTGCCCTCACTGGATGCTGCACGGAGCAGCAGCAGAAGCAGTGTGGTGGCACGGGCCGATGGCACGGGAACAGTGGGGACAGAGGGCAAGAGAGGGATGGGAGGAGAGAGCAAGAGAGAATTTGCAGCAGCAGAAACAGCTGCGGAGGTGTGTGGTTTGCTGAAGGCTGCAGCAGCGGCTGTTGCAGCAGCAGGGGGGAACAGGCAGGCTAGCAGTGATGCACAGGCACTGCTAGCACAGGCACAGGTGATACTATCGAATGTGAGGGATTCTGAAAGTTTTGGGAGTAGCAATGCCACGTCACACCTGGTAACCCCTTCGTCCTCCTCTTCCTTCGGGCTCCCCTTGTCCTCATCCTGCTCATCGCCATCCTCTTTAAAGGATGCTGCGAGATTGGCTGCAAGAGCAGAGAGGGAGCGGCTAGTGAGGAGATTGGAAGAGACAGAAGCACGATGGGAGAGGTCCCAGAATGAGTTAAGGAGGTGTTTAGAGGAGAAAGAGGAGCTGAAGAAGGAGTTGAGTGCGGTTTTGGGGAGGGTAATGGAAGAACGGAGGGAGTGGGCGGAGAGGAGGGAAAGGGAGAGGAGGAAGAGTGGTGAGGTGATGGTGATGATGGGTGTGGTGGAGAGAGGTAGGGAGGAGGCGGAGAGGAGGAGGAGGGATGCAGAGAGGAGGTGTGAGTGGATGGAGAGGAGGTTAAGGGAAGCAGGGAGAAGGCTGGAGGAGAGAGGGTTGGGGGAGGGCGTTGGGATGGGTATGGGGGTAGGGGCTAAAGTGGAGGTGAGTGGTAAGGTGGAAGGAGAGGGTGGGAAGTTAGTGGGGAAGGGTAAGGGGAGAGAGGGGAACGAAGTGAGTGTGAGAGGAGGTGGGGAAGGGGAATGTGAGGGTGGAGGAGGAGAGAGAGAAGTGGAGACAGTGGTCAGGGAAGGGGAGAGGAAGTTGCATCAAGGTAGGCAGCAGCAAGGGCAGCAGCAAGGGCAGCAGCAGGCAGCGCAGAAAGATGGCAGGAAGCAGGAGGGAATGGAGGGCGCACAGCATGAGCGAGAGAAAGGGCTGGGGGGGCAGGGGGGGGAGGGGCAGGATGGGCGGCACCAGCAATGGCAGCAGCAGCAGCAGGCAGAAGGGCAGCAACGCGAGCAAGGGCGGAGCCGAGGGGAGCGGGTTTCAGTGTGGGCCCAGCAAAGGTGGGTGTGGAGGGCAGATTCAGGAACGTGGGGCAACCTGACATATCTGTTACATAGCAATCATACTAATCATATCTATCATACTCATCGTACCTGTCATACCTATCACAGCTACCACATATACCATGTCTGTCCAGCCACTCTTCCCTTCCTGTACCTGTTGCTCTCCACAGCCACCGCTGTTCGCTACCTCTGTCTCGATATCATTCCCGCATCGTTTCCCCTCACGGATTTCCATCATTGCCAATTGCATCCCGACTGCAAGCCTCCACCACAGCCGGCGTCCTTCGCCCGATTCGTTTCTCCTGTTGTTTCTCTTCCACGTCTTCCTTGTTTTTACCCAGGAGCCCACACAACCGCCGAGAGTTTTTTTGTGTAACACTGTAACGAGGCGACTCTTGAGCCGACTCAAATCTACCCTTATTTTTTCCCTCAAATCTTCCGTGTTTTCCCCAGGAGCCCGCACTACCGCCGAGAGTATCGCCACCATCAGGGCCGGCATTATCAGGACCACCACCATCGAGGCTACCATGCATTGCCAATGCCCTCTCCCTCTTCCTCCGCGTCTAGTTATGCTGCCTCCCAAGTCGCTCCCACTGCCTCTGCCGCTGCTACTTCCCCCTCGTCATCATCCGCTCCTGCTACTGCACCTGTGGTTGCTGCAGTCCCCTCTTCTGCTGTCGCTTCAGCTGTTGCTTCTGCTGCTGCTGCTACTGCTGCTGGTGCTCACTTTTCGTCTTCTTCTGCTGGAGCTCCCTTCGCTCGACATGACCCACCCCTCCCTTCCACCCCTTATACGCCATCATCCCTCTTCTCCTCCTCCTTACTCGCCTCTCTTATTGACTGCGTACCTGGCAGCGGCAGTAGCAGCAGCAGAATGAGCCCACCGCACAGCAGAGAGCTGAACCGCACTCGCAGCAGCATTACTGATGCAGCTGGTGACTGGGGTGCCACTGCAGGCAGGGCAGCTGAGGAATGGGTCAGCCAAGGCAGGGGAGGTGGGGATTGGGAGGGTAGTCAAGGCAGGGCAGCGGGAGATTGGGATCGTAGCGAAGGCAAGGGGAGCATTACTGCAAGCAGCAGGAGGGATCAGCTTGCTCGCACACACACAGTCTCCTCATCCCCGGCTCACAGCATCCTCAATCTCTCTTCTTTCATCCGCTCTCCCAATGGGTTGATGGACGGTGGGATGGTTCTTAGCTATCAAAAGGTGGTGGGCCCTGAGAGGGCCTTGGGATGCCACTCTCCTGGCAGCACCAGCAGCAGCTTGAGGCACCACAGCAGTGGGAATGGCCCGCCATCTCCTCTCACCTCTCAACAGAACCTGTCTTCTGCTTCTGCTGCTGTGGTGCCTGGCGCTTCTGGTACTGTTGCTGCTGGTGCCACTGTTGGGGTCACCACCGCAAGCAGCAGTGGCTGCCATGTCATAATTCCTCCACGAATTGGCCTCTCTCACTCTGGGTCCATGTCTGAGACCAGCTCGGTCCGGCAAGGCAACAGGGTAGGCAGAGAGGGGGCACACAGACATGGAGGGCACAGGGGCATAAGAGGGGGAGAAGGGTTGGAGGCAGCTGATTGGCTGTCAGAGCTCTCTGACAACACGAGCATGGATGAGGTTGATCAAATACTGGCTCAGATGGGTCTCAGACCAGGGGAGGCGAGCGCAGGGGAAGGAAGGGTTGCAGGAGGTCCAGAGGCAGGTGGCACGAAAGGGGTTCATGAGGTGAGGGTGAGGAGGAGTGCAGGTGGGCATGATAGGGAGAGATTGCGATATGAGCGGAGGCAGCTGAGGAGACTGATTAGGAAAGGGGCAGGGGGTCCAATGGAGTTTGGGGACACTGTGAGCTTTGGGAGAGAGGACGGGAGTGGAGGGGAGTTAACGCCAAAGTCAATGGACTCTCTCAAGATCCAATCCTCACAGCATGCAAGAGATGCTATGATTCTGTACCAATAATAATGCATTGTTAAATGAAGCTACCTAGTAATGCAATCACTGTACCACACCATGAACATCTGCTGGAATAAGGATGCAGACAATCACCCAACTGGATTGTAGCAATCACACCAGCTAACAGAATCAACTTCCCATGTGCTTTGCCCGCTTTCCTGAGTCCAACTGAGCATAGCTGATCTTGGATCCATTGTCCATGGAAACTTGGACCACAGAATCAGCAAACGTCTGAAAGGCCCGATTGTGGCTCACACAAAGGACCTGCCCCTTTTTTGCAAGCTCGCTCTGCACAAGAGCGCCAACCCTGCTTTGATTTTCCTCATCAAGGGCAGCATCCACCTCGTCCATCAGGTACACAAAGTTTTGGCTGTACTGGGCAATAGCCAGAACCAGTGCAACACTCAGGAGAGTTCGTTGTCCACCTGCAACAGACACACGCGAGTCACAACTCAGCAGGATAACAAGATATCACGCATTGGGTCACTTGGAAGAGGTGTCTGCATACCAGAGAGCTGACTGAGGTTTGTGTTCCAAGATGGTGCAGAATCCTCAGATGCAGGACTGTTACAGAAGGCAATCTTAATGCCATCTTCAACTGTTTCTCCAAGTTGAATGAGATTGACAGACTTGTTTGGAAGGAGATGGAGGCATAGGTTCTGAAATGAAGACTTCACTCGAGTGTAAGTGTCTTTGTTGACCATTAGCACCTGTACGAACACGATCACGGATTTTCATGTGCTCCAAATCAATATGGACAAAAAAGGAGATGCAATATGTCAGAATGAAAATTGGGGATATGCAGGAGAGGAGCAGGAGAGTTGAAAGTTTTTTTGAAAGGGAATACCTTTGACTTTGCGCGTGATATTCCTTCCTTCAAAACTTTCATAGAGTCCACGATCGATGCTGCACGGTCCTTGAACATCTTCAGGGTGGATATTCGTGTGCCAAAAGCATCCCTCTCTTGGTCTGACAGCTTTGCATGTTTGAGCCTGACATGAAAGAACACAATAAGAAACATTATAACAAATCTTCCAGCTTGCATGCTTGAGGTATGAATCACTTACTTCGAAAGGCGGCAGAGAAGTGCTTTCCACTCTGCTCCAGGCTCCAGTATCTCAGTGTTATCCAGGTCCATGTCATCTGAATTTGGTAAATGTTCCTCCTCTGTATTGGCCAGCAGCTCCGATTCCTGCAAATTAGCCAGAAATTGCTTGAGTGTTACAAAATCAGGTAAGAAAATGTGACACCAAGAACTTACCAGGACTTTCTCCACCTCTAATATCCTTTCTCTTGCCTCTGCAATTCCTCCTTGTACGTTCTTCAGATCTGAATTGAGGCTTAGCATTTGATCACGGAGCTTGCTGTGTTGTGCTTCCAGATTCTCTATGTTGGACAAAAACACTGCCAGCTTCGCCTTCCGCACTTCCCTCTCACACTTTGACTTGTGCATATCTCCCTCAATATTGGTAATCTGGCACTTGATGGTCTTCTGGTGTTGAAGGAGGTTTCCCATCTTTTCCTCCAGATCTTGCACACTGGTGGCATCCATTGCCTCCTCTATCACTAATTTCTCATCTCTGAGCTTTGCAACCTTCATTGTCAGCACATTCAGTCTTGACTCGATATCTTGAGCAGATGAGAGTATTTTCGTCCTCCAAGTGGCAAAAGTACCAGCCGAATCAGTTGGGCCAGAATTCAGTAGCTTTCGAAGTTGTGCTACCACTATCTCTTTTGCTTCCACTTTCCCTTCCACTGCGACAAGGGTATCTTGAGTGTCAACGAATGCCAGCTTAGCTTGTTCACGAGAATCAAGGAGGAGCTTTTCCTGAAATTTGAGGTGCAATGTAAGCCATTTGTAAATCATTTGACAGAAACTTGAAGAACGGACATACCTTTCTCTCCAGTGCTCTCATCTCCCCTGAAATGCCATCAAGCTTCAAAAGATCTTGTTGCACCCGCTCAATCTCTGCCTCAAGGTTCTTGATTGCCTGCACATGAGGTGACAATGACAACATGAAAAAAACTCTGCTAAGGTCAAACAAACTGTATATCACCGAGATAATCATCACCTGAACAGACTGTACTATGCACAATTCTGTGCTCTTGACCTCATTCTGAACCCTGTCGTGTTCAAACTTAGTCACCATCACCCGGGGAGTTCTGCTACCTCTCCAACCGCCAGAAAGAAAGCCTCGTTTGTGAACCTTTCCATCAAGTGTCACACTCCGGATGCCGTGATTTATTGCAAGTTCAGCTGCCACCGTGTCGTCCATTGCAATAACGAAGCCGCTGAAAAGCTTTGCAAGTGCTGGAAGAAAGCGAGGATCAAACTCGAGTAAATCAAGAGGAAGAACCACGGATCCTTCCTCAAACCTCTCTTTCACAAACGAATGATCCTGCCTTATGTCATCCACAACAAGGGATCCCAGAGGCCAGATGCGATTGAACATGCTTGGATGCTTGAGATCCTCCCACACATCCAGAAGGGACTTAGCGTCGTGCATATTTTCCACAATACAAGTGGAGCTGATCTGACCTGCACATTTATGGGGTTAAACCAATGGAAACATATACATGTGCAGGAAGAATTTGGCTTCAACAAGGCATGCGTGAACCCACCTGCAATGACATCCAAGGCGGTGAGAAACTTGGCACAACTGACGGTTTGATCTGTCTTGAAACGGAAAACTGAGTGCAATGGCCAAGCAGGGAACTTCAAATCCGTGGGTTCCAGACTTCCAAGCTGTGCCTTCAAGACTTCGAGCTGGGTCCTCAGGGCAGCCTCCTTTCTCTTCAAGGAATAATGTTCTTGACTCTGCCTCTGTGACTCTGCTTGCAGATCTCGCAGCCGTGATAACAACTCTTCCCTTGACTTACACCTTAACTTCTCTTCCCCCAGAGCCGCAATAGATTCTCTCGTAAGCCCAAGCTCACTTTCAACTTCAGCGAGTGCGTCTCCACATTGAGAAAATGACGACTGCTTGTGTTTCATTACCTTCCTCAAATCAACCAGCTGCTTTTCCTCCTCTCTCAGAAAATCAAATGGATGCTTTCCGGCTGATTGTAGCTCCAGGTCATCAAACCGCGCAACTGTATCCTGATGCTCCTTGAGCTGATGACTGAGGAGCAATTTCTCATGAAGAGTTGCTTGTACATCAGAATCAAGCTTTGCCACAGCCGAATGAAAGTCTTGTGCAGCTGCTTGCTGTAGTTGGAACACGTGAATCATCTCCTCATTCTCCGCATATTTACAGAGTGCTTCAGCGTGCCGTTTCTCGTGAATGTCCTCGTACACTTCCTCCAACGCCTTGAGCTCACGCACAGTGGCTAGATTTTGATCACGTTCCTTGAGAACAGTCTGAATGCTATCATGAACTATTTTCAACTTCTGTTGAGCCGTTTTGGCGTCGTTTTCCAAAGAGATCCTTCTTTGTGACTCGTGGATTTGTATCGCCTTCCCAAGTTCACCGAGCCTCTTGCACGTCTGGAGTGATGACAGTTAAGATCGAAGTCACCGAGGTTGCAAAATAGAAGCAGAAGAGATGTGACACACCTTCCATCTTTCATGAGCTTCTTTGGACTTGGCCGTATCGGCAGCTGTTGCTCTTTCAAGCAAGCACGTATTTGTGTTTATTTCGTGCAAACTTCTCTCCGTCCTGGACACAACCTCTTCAGCCTTCTCCACCTCGGCTTCCCACCTCGCTGGACCACAATGACAAGGTGCAGAGTTGGAGAAAATAATGGATCCGTGCCATTTCTAAATCAAGACTACGCGACACTGCAGGCATGAATTCAATGAAACGTACCTGCTCCAGACACTCCTGAAATGAGGCTAGACAGCACTGCACCATCGTTTGCATTCGCCAACTCCGAGACCTGGGACTGCTTGAGGCTTGTGCAAGCATCCAACATGATACGGTTCTCACGAAGAAAGTCCTGTTTGGTTAAGATGTGAGTCTGGACTATCAACAAGTGTTCGATCTAGCCTTCCGTACTGACTACTCTTACCTTGAGTTCACGGAGAGTTTTGAGCTTCCCATTGACTTTTGTCTGTCGAGTTTGGTCTGGCAGAAGCTTTGCGTCGATGCAGATTCTGTCGACCGCACTTCCTCCTTTGGATGTACGTACTACTACGGAAATCTCACATCCTTCCTTCGTATCGGACGATTGAAGACCGGCCAATGACTGCACACGCAATGCATGATAGGCCTCGCCGAAGGCAAAGTGGATTGCATCTGCACAGTATTGATGAGTTTTGATTAGAAATGGGACAGGCTTATGTTATGGACGTTCACTTGTTTCACGCTTACCCAAAATGTTCGACTTTCCACTTCCATTTGCCCCAGCTATAAGGTTGAAGCCAGGAGTGAACCTTATCTCTTGCGGCTCATCGCGAAAGGACTTGAATGCTCGGATTCTGATCACAACCTTTGGTGAGCCATAATTAGGTCAATTAATAAGCTGCTGAGTCATATCGTGCGTACCTGACAGATTCTATGAATGGACGCGAGTGCCTGAAGGCAGCCATTGACAATCGGCAGACGGACTACAGGTGCTTCAATGCCACAACAGGAAATTCATCGCAGAAATCTCTGGGTCGACTTCCGTCAAACCATCACAGCAATTATACCTTGTGCTAGGTTCTTAGGCTGGTGCATGACATTCTCTGCTTCAGGATGGGACCTGGAGGGTCGATGGTGACTGGGCCGATTGGCCACTTTGCTGCTCCCGTTGGAAGAGATACCCCGTTTGTGGAACTTTTCGAGATTTGACATTCAAGCTGTTGTAACACAACCATCTCGAATTTCTCCTTAAAGCCCGCAACCTAAATTGCGGGCCGCGCGGGTCGAGTTTTTAAATCTTGACGAACTAGTGTTTTCAAGGTTTGAAAGGAAGCGCGGGTGCAATTTGGGACTTGTGGAAACCGAGCCAACACCCAGGGCAAAATACGAGGGCAGGCTGGGTTTGGTGAAAACAACGGAAAAAAAACACGAAATCCAAAAATTTCGCCAAAACCCAGACCAGAAAAACCCCCTAGCGCCAACCTTTTAAAACTTGTGCTCATACTGTATTTAGAAGGTCCATGACAATGACAATGCCGCCATGGCTGCCTGACACTTGCCTGACAAGCACATTACGTGAAGCCTGGCCACCTGATGGCTTTAATTTCACCAGCATTGTACTCGTTACATCCTTACGAAGCAGACTATATACTTTTTATGTTCATCATGCGAAAATAATATCGACTGCTCTAGGGAGTATCTCACTGGTGCAAGCAACTAAGTCCAAGGTCCGCGCGGGCTTCTCAAGGTGCTCTGCTGGCACTCACGAACAACAACCAAGGACTAACGTCACTGGATATCAGGATTACGTCCAAGGACGCGATCCTGAAGTTCTATCCTCGGCTTCCCATCACCTAAGTTACGGGCACTGGTCAGCTGTCTACGCTAACAATGACAATGGCAGGCTATATATCAGTACTGTGCTCAGACCATCGGCATATATTCTTCAACAGCTCGTCAGCTCAGAGCTTCTGCCGTTTTTGGTTCATCATCGCACGATGCCGCCAAAAGGATCCCGCGTTAAGCCCGCCGTTGAAGTGCCGCCGCCTGAAATCACAACGGGTGACCCTGATGCTGCATCCAAGCAGACGACAAACAGCAAGTCAGACATTGAGAAGAATCTGCCATCTGAGGCTGAAGTCACTGCGGGAAGCTCGGGATTATCCATTGAGAATAAGCTGAAGGCGCTGGCTACGGTCGTACCTGATGACACCTTTATTGAGGACGACTCTGATGAGGAGCTGGAAATCGACAACGAAAAAGGAACGGCGTCGCATCTACGGTTCACGGCGATACTGCTCTTCCCGGTCATTCCGTCTCATGAGATCGCCTCTGTTATTATTACCGTCAGGATGCTGATGAAGCGTGTTTGGTCGCATATCTTTACTGACGGTGTTCTTACCACAGTGAAGTTTCAGGAGCTGTTACCTGCGTACGTCGCGAAGTCACGTTACAGCAGACTCCAGGTCTCCTTCCTGCAAGAAGCAGACGCGACCAATGTCAAGCAGATGATTGTGGACCATAAGCGACCGAATGGCTTGACTATTCACTGTTTCTGGCTCCACCAGGAAGATCCGGCTTACGTTCGAACAAAGGCGGCCAACCCGCAGATGCTGGAAGTCTATTTTAAGGGTGTACCTGCTGACATTCCGCCGGAATTGGTCAAGGATGTGATGGCTGTCCACCAGCTGAAAGTTCGCAAACGGTCCGCGTTCAACGAGGGTCTCTGCTTCCACCGTGTGCTGCATCCGGTCACTGGCGCAGACACTGATAAGATCAAGGGTTTGGTGATCCCGCACGCGGGGGACAAGCATCGCTGGCGTCACGAGTTTCGTCATCAGCTGCTTGGTGGGACGACGCTGCTAGCCCACTACCCCTTGCTATCCTGCACGCTCTGTGGCGGACATCACTATGACAAGTTTCATGATGTCTATGTCACGGAGCGTCAGAATAACATAGGGAAGTGGAGTCTCACAGTGGGTCGGGTACACAGGATTAACGGTAACAGCCTCTTACAGTTTGGTTGTCGGGGTTGCTCGTGCTGTTCCTTACCTTCCTCGGTTTCTGACCTCTCGCTTGCCTCTCGCAGCTGCTTCTCTCCGCACTTCTCCGCTTGTCACCCCTCTCCTCATGGATGCGGCCTTTGTTCTGATTTCGACGGGGAGCAACAGGGAGGAGTGGCTCTGCACCCAAGCCAGCTGCGGAAAGGCGCACGGCAAATCCTTCATGACTGCTGCGGACCACGTCACCTCTGCAAGCCACCTGCTGGGGTTAGAGAAGCTGGGTGCTGCCACTCGTCTCTCCCTCGAGAAGCTGAACCTGTACACCATCCGCAAGGAGTACGGGATCTAAGTGTTGATCAGGATCGGTTGACCAGGATTTCTTCTACTGTAGCCGTTGTTTGTTCCGTCATAGCCGTTGCATGTTTCACCAGCCTGTGGATGAGGGGAGGCTATCAAGCAGTGACTAAATGAGTACAAAAAATCTTCTCACAGTAGCAGGCCTGAATGTGAACGGCCTGGGAGACGGGAACAAGCAACAGCGTACGAGGAACTGGATCAGACAAGCCGCTGATATCACTATACTCTCAGACTCTAGACTAGCAGTTGACCACCCTTACTGGACCTCTCTCAAACAGCCTAGGACTTTAGTAGCCTCGCCAACTGCCAAAGCCGGAGGTGTTGCGCTGATCTACCGCAGACAAGGATTATCACTTCATAACATTCTGATTCACTCGTCAGGCCGACTGATCAAAGCGGACGTGCAGCTTGACACTTTCCACATCACCTTAGTAGCAGTGTACTTTCCGGCGGACGTGACGGACCGGAAAACCTTCATCCGCTGGGTCCTGGGCCCAGTGGTAGACGGTGTACCACCCGGCGCTCACCTGCTTGTCCTCGGGGATCTAAATCTGGTGGAGAATCCGCCGCTGGACAGGACCTCCAGGAAAGGGACGACCAAAGAGAATGACGAGTTGTTTGGACCAGCGCTGCAGTGCTTTCCATTTATCGGATGCCTTCTGTGTTCTGCATCCTTTCAAACGGGAGTTCACTTTCTACTCACATGCCTGCCAGACCAGCTCGCGCATTGATCGCGCACTCATCTCGCAGTCGCTGCTATCGCATGTTGAGTTCGCCTCCCACATCATGCCTGCTGACCCAATCTCGGATCACAGCTTCGCGATTAAGGTGGCCTTCAGGATGAGCACGCAGGTGCAGACGGGACCGGGCCTCTGGAGGATCCCTGCATACATGGTGGGGAGACCGGGTGTCAGAAAGGTGATCAAAAAGGTGTCGAACCAGATGGAGGAATCAGGTGACAACTACGAGCTGCTAATCGCGAGACTGAACGCAGGGCTCAAGGCTTACGCCAGAGAGGAGAGAAAGAGGGTCCGCGCCACGATGACCTTCCTTCAACAGGCGGTTGCTGATCTGAAACAGGCGTGGCTGGGGGACCCGAGCTGTGTCCGGCTGAAAGACCTGCTGAGCGAGAGGGAGCTCCAATTGAGAAGTTATCAGCAGTCGCGGCAGGAGAGACTGCACGTGATGGCCGGAATGAAGGAGGCGACGTTGGGGGAGGTAGCATCACCTTTCCTATCTGCGAAGATTAAGGGCCGGAAGGAGCGCACGCAAATCACGGAGTTAAACGTGGGAGGCACAATGGTCAGCGACAATAAAGGCATTTTGGGTGCAGCTTCGCAGTTGTTTGGAACGGACAGACAGACGGTCTTATCTGAGTGGGAACCCTCGGCGGACAGAAGACTGTTGTCAGCAGCGGCGGAGTCGTTGTCTGCCGAGTGGTCGGAGGAGGAGGTTAAGAGCGCGTTTCAGTCGATGACGAATAATAAGGCTCCTGGCCGGGACGGCTTGCCAAAGGAGCTCTTCGAAGCACATTGGGACATCCTGGGCAAACACTTCATGTCGCTGGTGAAGAGTTTCTCGGACACGGCGTCCCTCCCAGCCTCCACAAAAGACGCGGTGACCATCCTGCTGCATAAGAAAGGGGGAAGAGATCAGCTGGAGAACTACCGTCCAATCACATTGCTCAGCTTCACCTATAAAGTGATAGCGCGTGTGGTAGCGGACAGGATGAAAACAGTGCTCTCGGGGGTAGTCTCACCGGAGCAGTTTGGCTTCTTCCCTGGGAGGAGGTTGTCAGACGCTGTGGGGCTAGTGGCGGATATTATCGAAGCGGCCAAAAATAAAGATAAAGACTGGTACCTCCTGCTCGTTGATTTTAGGAAGGCCTTCGACTCGGTATCGCGGGGATTCCTGTTTACGGTGCTGGAGAAGATGGGTTTTCCTCCTCGCTTTGTCGGATGGATTCGGGGCCTGCATGAGAACACACGGACAAGTCTGTTGGTTAACGGTTGGATTGGCGAAGCGGTTGAAGTGGTCTCGGGGGTGCGTCAGGGTTGCCCTCTAGCACCTTACCTGTTTTTGTGCGCGGTGGAACCGCTGGCGCAGGAAGCAGCGAACCGGAGGATTGGTATTTCCGAGGGTGATCAGCGGCTGGCGTATCTTGGTTACGCCAATGATACATCTCTCATCCTGGAGGGGGAGGAGCAGATTGTAGCGGCAGAGAAGCTGTTAGAAGAGTTTGCAGGGGAGTCAGGTCTCGCTACTAACAAGAAGAAGTCAATTGTCGTACCACTGGGGTCGAATCTGGGCAGGCAGCCCTGGAAGACCGATGTTTTCAAATTGGCGAAGGCTGATGAGGCAGAAAGGCTGCTGGGGGTGTGGGTGACTCCTGCTGTAAGCTGCAATCCTACATGGGAGAAGGCTTTCGCACAGATTAAGCGGAAATTGTCGCAGTGGGAGGCGCAACATCTCACAACTGGCGCGCGTGCTGCGGTGATAAACTGCTACATCTCACCGATAATCTTCTTTCAGGCTCAGGGGTACCCGCCACCGATGGATATTTGGGGGCGGATACTGAAACTGACGCACAATTTCATGTCGGGTAACCGGGCCTCCACCGACAAGGAATTTATACTGTGGAGCAGAGAGCTGTTGTACATGGCCAGGGAAGAGGGGGGTGTCTGTGTGAAGGACCCCGAGATCGAACTTATCTGCCTAATTGCCAGAAAGATCGGGCTGCTGCTCACCGAGACGAACGCGCTGAAACGTGACATCATGCTCCAGGCTGCGGACTTGCCGCTTGGAACGGACACTTTCGTCGCTCACGTAAAGCTGCTCAAATGCTGGCGCGGGAAAAGCGTGTCAAACATTATATATGTTGTGTTTGTTAGGCTACAGTGGGTTAGCCTATATGGGGTACACAATTCTAGGGTTTGCTATTTGTACTGATTTCTCTGTTAGTTCAATCATTCCTGCTCAGTTCTTCTGACATGGTATCAGAGCAGGTCCTTCGCTAGGACCTAAGTTCTCTTCGGGCCCACCACTACCTACTACCTACTAGCGCCCTCGTGCGCCCTACTATCGGAGCGCGTTTTAGCGCCTCCCCCTTAGCGCCCTCGCGCGCTTCTCTCTTTTTTTTCCGGCCCCGCTGGCCCCGTCGATCGCGCCCCGCTTAGAGGCCCCGCGGCCCCATCGCGCTCCGCCTAGAGGCCCCGCGGCCCCGTCGCGTCCCGCTTAGAGGCCCCGCGGCCCCGTCGCGCCCCACCTACCGGCCCCGCGACCCCTTCGCGCCCCGCTTAGCGGCTTCGCAGCCCCATCGCGCTCCGCCTAGAGGCCCCGCGGCCCCGTCGCGTCCCGCTTAGAGGCCCCGCGGCCCCGTCGCGCCCCACCTCACGGCCCCGCGACCCCGTTGCGCCCCGCTTAGCGGCCCCGCGGCCCCGTCGAGCCCCGCTTAGAGGCCCACGCTGCCGCCGTTCTACATCCTCGTGTACGTCGACGACTTGGTCTTTGCCACTGCTGACACCGCGGCACTCGCCCACGTGAAGTCGGAGCTGCAGAGGAGACACACGTGCACAGACCTGGGTGAACTGACAAGCTATCTTGGCTTGCGGATCACCCGGGACAGAGCACGGCGCACCATCACCTTGACTCATTCACACATGGTGCAGCAGATCCTTCAGCGCTTCCACTTCACGTACTCCTCGCCTCACAGTCCACACCTCTGCCTACCGGTCACTCGCTCTCAGCTCTGCCTTCGGATGAGTCCGTAGAGCCGAGTGGCCCGTATCCAGAGCTTGTGGGCTGCCTCATGTACCTGATGACCTGCACTCGACCTGACCTTGCATACCCTCTTAGCATCCTTGCACGCTATGTCGCTCCTGGCCGTCACAGGAAGGAGCACATGGATGCCGCTAAGAGGGTGTTGCGCTACTTGTGCAGTACGTCGGGCATGGGGCTAGTGCTTGGAGGGCGAGACCGAGTTGTACTTACTGGACACTCAGACACTTCTTGGGCGGACGACCAGGCTACTCAGCGGTCGTCTCAGGGTTACACCTTCAGCCTTGGCTCTGGCTCAGTTTCTTGGCGTTCTACACGCTCTTCTTCTGTTCTCAGCTCCAGTTGTGAGGCTTAGATCTACGCCACAGCCATGGCTGCCCAGGAGCTACGCTGGCTGACCTACCTGCTGACCGACTTGGGAGAGCGGCCTCGTTCTCCTCCAGTGCTGTACGTCGACAACCAGGCTGCCATTGCCTTGTGTGAGGAGCACAGACTGGAGCACAGAACGAAGCACATCGCCCTACGGTACTTCCTTGCTCGAGAGCTGCAGCAGCGTGGTCAGCTTCGTCTGCGTTACGTGGCCACTGAGGCCAACACTGCTGATGTGTTCACCAAGGCGCTTCAGCCTTGTGACCATCAGCGCTTCTGTACTCTTCTAGGCCTTGTGCCTGCTGGTCCTCACTTGCTTACTTCTTGACTCTGTTTGTACTGTGATCTCTATATATATATACCTGCATGTTTACACTTGCTAGGTTGTGATCATTGTACCCTTTGCTCTAGTATAAACCTGTATGTGAACTGGTCTTGTGACCACTTGCTTGTGCTCGGAATTTGTGTGGAATCCTCGAGATCCACCCTGAGCTTGTCTTGCCTTGCTTTGCCTTGACTGGTCTTGTGACCCCTAGTTCTCCCCCACTTTGCCTATGGGGGTGTGTCAAACATTATATATGTTGTGTTTGTTAGGCTATAGTGGGTTAGCCTATATGGGGTACACAATTCTAGGGTTTGCTATTTGTACTGATTTCTCTGTTAGTTCAATCATTCCTGCTCAGTTCTTCTGACAAAGCGAGCGGTGGAAGCTTGCGTGCGCCAACTTCATGCAGTCACCGCTCGCCAGCACGCCGCTTGATTTATCACGGGAGGAAGCTGCGAGGGAACGCATCGTGTTCAACCGCCATCTCCTGATGAACAGCACGACCCCGGTGGGCAGCCAGAAAGCCGCGGAGAAATTGTGGGAGGTGCGTCTGGGAGACCTGCTGACCGCGGATGGTGACGGGAGTTGGCGTGTAAAGGATGACAAAACCCTAGCGAGGGAGCTCGGTGGCTCAAAGCAGGCGAAGCTTGCTCTACGGGCGTGGGAAGCAGCACCGCAGAGCTGGAAACTGAGCCTCCTCTCAGCCGAGCAATCTAGCGCACCCACCACCCAGCTCCGCACTCCGCTTCAGCGCTCAGCGGCTTTCAGTGGTGGAGGGCTTCCATCGCTGAAGGAGTTGAAGGGAAACTGGCAACAGTCGAAACATCAATCGGCCAAACGGGAGCTCTGGGCGGGCAGATGGGCAGGAGTTATTGATTGGAAAAGGATTGTGAAAATTCAGGACTCGCTGGTGACACCGAACCGACCGCGTGATGTGCTGCTGAGAATTCACAGTCTCAACCTTCAAGTGGGTGAAATGCTTTCTTTCTTAAGTGGAAAGCCGGTCTGCCCGCATTGCGGGGAGTTTGAAACTCTGGAACACTGCCTCTACACCTGTCCAAGAATCCAGACGGTTGTGGGAGCAGTTCGGGAGGCTCTGCGCATGCTGAATCCGGCGAGGCATGTTGACAGCTTGGGCGACATACTGTTTGGCAACACCGCTTCCAGCTCAGCTTTTCCGGAAGCATCTCTCTCGGCAATCGCAATACACCAGATTTGGGCAGAGCGGTGTGATTGCGTGTTTCGAGGCAAGAGATTTCGGGCCAGGCGGGTGCTGAGGAGGATTGAAGCAGCTTTCAGGCTACATGTGCGGGTGTATACTCGGGCAACAGGGAAAAAGTTGAACACGAAGGGCGATTTGAAGCAGGGCGGGAAGACATATGCGCTGGCAGATCAGGAGTGTCGGCTCCTTGGACGTATCCGGACTCTGGAAGGCAAAGGCTGGAAATGGTCCCGTCACTTTGGCGCGTTATGGAATCTTGCGCGAGGGGCACTGCATCCCCCTTAGAGTCGTCCCCTGAGGCTGGCATGCTACCGGGCCTCTCACGCTCAGTTACGACTGACATATGTTTGTGTGCACTTGCATCATCGGTGTATACATTAACATATTAAAAAAAAAAAAAAAAAAAAACTTGTGCAATTTGGGCTGCCGGCTTTAAGTGATCCCGCGCCAATGACAACAAAGATAGAAAGGATGGTTCGGTGGGCCGTTCCTACGGTTTCGGCTAGGTTTCTGGATCGTATTCGACAGGAAAGTGTCGGATTCTGTCAGGATGCATGCGACGTCGCATGTGTTGTTGCATTACCCATAACGAATTCCGGCAAGAAGTGTAACTCTTACATCGTCCGGACGCGTCTTGGTCCGGACTAATTTGTTACACGCCCTAACAGGGAGGGAGGAAGAATAATGTCGAGGGAGGGAGGGTGTTAGGCCGACGGCCTAAGTCCGCTAAAGAATTAGCGGGGTCGACTAAGTCGAGGATAAAGCGCGGCGGAAGGCTTTGGCGAAAAGACTATTGGCGAAATAGGCGAAGAAGTTACTGAGTAATTGAAAGAGAGTTGAATGAGAATTGGTTGATATGAGGGATTACAAGCAAGGTTGATATAGCATGCAAGAAACAAGGTTGGAAAGTAGATTGTGGGACTAGGAATTGTGAAGGTAGAAAAGTAGAGTGCCACGTGGCACATGGAAATCTAGGAAGATAAGGTTGGATGGGTTGGGAAAACTTCTATTCGGAATGAACAGTAAAACCCCCTGTAACACTACCCCCCTCCCAAGGAGGCGACGTCCGCGGCGCCTGCAGACTGAAGGTACGCTTTGAGGCAAGCGTTGTCAGGAGACAGCGACGACAAAGGAACCCAGCTGTCGTCGGCTGCATCGTAACCACGCCAACGAACCAAGAAGTCGACGAAGGAGACACCTCCCTGCAGACGGCGACGGTGCCTGAGGATGCGCTGGATCTGGTAGTCGGGCTCGTCGGTGTCAACAGCTACCGGCAGTGGAGTGCGATCACGGCCCGAGAAGGTGGAGTTGGGATCGGTGTATGGACGAAGGAGAGACACGTGGAATGATGGGTGCATGCGGAAATGAGCGGGAAGACGAAGGCGGTATGCGACTGGACCAAGTGCGCGCTCAATGACGAATGGACCAATGAAACGTGGGCGAAGCTTGCTGTCCTGTGGCAGTCGGAGGTTGCGGCTATCGAGAAGGACACGGTCACCGACTGCGAACGACACCTCACGACGACTGCGGTTGGTGGTGCGTGCCATGCGTGCATTTGCAAGCTCAAGGTGCTTCCTCACGTGGTCGTGAATGAAGGTGAGGTGCTGGTGGAAATTGTCCGCACGAGGGACAGTGGGTGTGAGATCGACACGAGTGGGGACATTGGGGTGCTGACCGTACAGTGCGAAGAACGGTGACATGCCTGTGGCGGAGTGATGCGTGTTGTTGTATGCGAACTCTGCCATGCTCAGCTTCTTGTCCCATGCTGCTGCATCGTGCATCGTGATGCTACGAAGAATCTGCTCCAAGGTCTGGTTCACGCGCTCAGTCTGTCCGTCTGTCTCTGGATGGTACGCAGATGACATGGCTAAGCGAGTCCCAAACAGTGCGAAAAGCTGCTTCCAGAACTTCGAAGTGAAACGAGGGTCGCGGTCTGAGATGATGGAATCGGGAACCCCGTGCAGTCGGACTACGTTATCTACGAACAGCGTCGCGGCTTCCTCTGCTGTGACCTGGCCGTGCGTGGGGATGAAGTGCGCTGCTCGAGAGAACTTGTCGACTACAACGAAGATGGCGTCGTGACCCCTAACTGTGCGCGGTAAAGCCATGATGAAATCCATGGTAACTACCTGCCAAGGGCGGTCGGGCGGTGGAATCGGCTGCAAAAGTCCTGCCTTGCGCTGGCGAGAGGACTTCGTACGCTGACACGTGTC